TTCTACATGGTGTTAATAAAATATTTTCATCTGCTGTTAGTTTCTGTGAATGTATATGAAAGAGTTGGAAAACAAGTAAACTTATGTGCACACTTTTGCATGCATTTACAGTATGCATTTGCAAGCATTTACAATACTTCTGTTTTGCATTTGTTTATATATACAGTATATATATATATATATGTGTGTGTGTGTGTGTGTGTTGCTTCATTGGGAGCAAGATCATCTGACCTTCTGCACAAAAAGTCACATGATCAATGTCACTAATTTGCTTATTTGATAATTAGTGACCTAGAAATAGCGCAGAATTTAAATATATCATTGTATATCATAATGATTCCTCATTTTAAATGTTTCAAAATCCTATTAGGCTTTGAATCGCAGATATTTATTGTGGTCTCAGACATTTGTACAGGTTACACGCTGGGGTATCTGGAGCCCCAGTGCAGGTTGTTTCTGTTCCCGGGGCCCCTGGAATCGTCACCAACCTTTCGCCCTGCAAGCGACGGCCCTGGTTACACAACACACACACAGCATAGTGAAGTTGTCCTTTGCTTTATAGAAGTGTGTAATTAATAATTAAGTAGCTGCACTTGTAATGGGTTGACCTCTCTGACCTGTTCATTACTCAGACGGCAAAGGCATCATTCAAAATCAGTCGCTGCGCCGCCGCCCCTCTCTTTCCCCCTTGGCTAGAGAACACCTATTTCAGCATCTATATTCAGCTGACCAGCGGCCTAATATGGGTCTGGACTGAATTAAAACTCTCAGTTCCACTGAGGACGAAAAGCCTCTAAATCCCACTGAACAGCTTCCTGTCATAATCCTGTTCAGCTTTTACTCTCTGGTACGGAGACGGGGGAAAAAGAGACAAAAGAGAAAAATGTAAGCCTGAATGTGTGAGGTGAGAGTCACACAGAACAGTTACACTCAAAATGATTTCTGCAGCTTCTGTTTACTTAAAGAGAGCAGTAAACAATTGTTGAATACGTTTGCTAAGTTCGTAAAAAATACCTTTGTATAGTATGAAAAAAGATTATCAAATTATTAGTATTATTATATGGTAGCGATATATTGTGCATACCTAATCCATTCTTTTTGGGAATACATAAATTATTTGTTGTTGACTTTAAAGTATTACAAAAACTGGACAAGGAATTTTCATTTCTCAGCATATTTTGCATGGGACTGGATGAAGAGAGAAATTATTTTATGTATTTTTGAGCAAGATGTACTTACCCACAGTGTTTTCCCCCCATGTATAAATAGTATCTAAACATTCTTAAATCAAGATGCAATCACTTTAAAAGCTATAGTGACATAAGATATTAAGTATTGTTTTCCCTTTGAATTAAGATTATTCTAACACTGTAAAAAAAAAGTTGCTACCTTAAATTTTGGAGTACAATCAACTTAAATGACATTAAAATGACTTATGTGAAAAAAATAAGTTGAATCTTGTATGACTTATAAAATAAGTTGCTTCAAAATTGCTTAACTTATTTTGACGAGTTAAAGCAATGTGAAAACATGTTGTCATAACTTATCGATCATATCATTTTCTACGGTGTACCTCATTGGCAGATATTTTTCCTTGTTTTAAGCATAAAATCACTCAATTTTAATAAATGTTTTCAGAAAACAAAACTTATATCACTTTGCTTCTAAAGTGAATACATCTTGATTTAAGAATGTTTAGATAACTGTACTGAAAAAAATCATTGGTAACATTTAATTTTACATTGTCCTTCACGTTACATGCAATTACTGTAGAAACTAAAAATGATGCATAATTACCTGCAACTAACCCTAAATAAAAACCTAATCATAACCCTAGTTAATTATTATTACTCAGTCATTAAAGTGAACCAAATCATTTTTTGCAGTGCAGTATTCAAGCAGTTTAATGTAAAAGTGAAGAAAAACAATGTGTGAAACGAATGTCCAATCGAATTATGTTCAGCCAAAAACTTTTCTAATATGTTGTGGGTGTCGGTCCCTGCAGTTATCCACTCCTCCTTTTGTCTGTCATGACACAGACAACAAATAATGAGGAAACATTACAAGTACCTTGCATTTAACCATCTTTACAGTAATTACTTCTTAGCCTCTTTGCTTTAAATCCAATTGAAGCGCTGTAGTAATATGTATTTACTAGTCACATTCTGTGGGTGGGATAAGCTGTTATGTGTGTAGCATTTAGTAATGATGAGCATTAGTGTCCTCCAAAAGAGCTTTCATCCCGCTCTCGATTTCTCTCTGCTACAGGAAAGGCTGCTGCCATTATGAATACATGCATGTCTGCTGGCCAGATTGCCTGGCTCAGTAGATGGAGCTCACGCAAGACTGCCTAGCCTGCGGTGCTGCAGTTACGAGGGGATGCAGGACTCTGGATAATGATACATTGCTCATCTGAGCAGCCACAGCTTTTCCACCCCCTCTCACCTTAAAAAAAAAAAAGAAAGAGGAGAAATGTTGTGAGTTAATTTAAATGGCCGAATGCATTATGGCAGGTTACTGGCTCAGGCAAAGCAGCCGAGAGGTGTTTGGTGAGCTTCAATTAGATTGCGCATGTGAGGGTTGATAGCTTGCACTTATTGCCCCTGTGTTTCGCTTGTGTTGTTGTGATTGTTGCTTTGTTCACAGCATCTCCTGGATTGTTTTGGTATGTAACATGAATGAGATTGATGTCACGGGTGAATTCTCGCTGTATTCGCTATACAGCAGAATTGAACAGCTCTCTCTGCCATGATCGTAATTTGCTTTGAATTGGAAGGCGAGTTGTTTACTCTTGGCCACCTCAGATCAGTTCTTTTCTGTTAATTACTAACAGTGTTGGGGAAAGTTACTTCTAAAAGTAACGAGTTACAATATCGCATTACTCCTAAAAAAAAGTAGCTTATTGTGTTACTTTTAGTTACTTTTTATTTAGTTACTTTTTATGGAAAGTAATTGTTGTGTTACTTTTTCTCACATGTGCTAGGCTTTCTTGTTTGTTTTTTAATAACAAAATAGTTCTATTTTTGGCCAATGTGAAGGCCCTTCCAAACCAAATATGCAAATGCAAAACGAAATGCAAAGTCACGCCTGTACAGTAGATGGTGTAGCTAATAGGACACAGAAGAAGAAAGTTCAACACTCTTACTTAAGCAATAAAAACAGCAAAAACGTAACACAAATGTGATGTTTATCTAAAGTAATTTTTACTTATTAATATGCTTGAATTTGATCATCTAAGGTCAGCGGCAACGACATTGCTTAACAAAGTGAGATTAAGTACATAAAGTGTATTATTTAACATTTAAGTATTGCAGGTTTGCGTAATATTCAGTGAGTTTGCATTTCACTGTTTTTATTCATTTTGAGGAATACTGAACCTGTTTTTGTGCAAGTGAGATGAGTAAATACATGCTCACAACTACAATAACCTCACTCCCTCACTCCCAATTTCTCTCAACATTTGGACCGGAGAGTTGTCAGTCAATACATAGGAAAACAAAGTAACTTGCGTTTCTTATTTGAAAAAGTTACTCAGATATTTTATTGTCAATTTTAAAAGTAATGTGTTACTTTACTAGTTACTTGAAAATGTAATCTGATTACATAACTACTATAAACAATTACCCCCAACACTGATTACTAAGAATCATGTTCATGGAATCCTGAGTGCATTGCCTCACATACACATGTTTTTGAAACTTTATATTTTCAGTTATCATTAACATGTTGATGTTTTAGTGCTGCTTGATCTAAGCGCAGCTTTTGATATGATTGACCATGACATTCTTATTTCCCGTCTGGACAGCCCGTTCTCATCCCAAGGCGTCATCTAACTGACGCTTTTGACCATGCGTCAACATGCCGATGCACATGGTACCCCTTAAGCGTCAATATGAGACGCGCCTCCTAGTGGTCTAACCCTAACCCTACCACAGACCTAAACCTACCCATAACGGAAGCGTCATCTAACTGACTTTATGGGGCCATATTAAAGAAACATCCTCTGGTGCTTTTGTTTTGGAGTTATACAGTGCATATGCAAAGGTTGATCATGCTTTGGTTTTGAAATGGTTCTTCTTTGGCGGAGGAAATATAACTGAAATAGCGAAAATTGTTATTTGATATTAAGTTCCGATGTTCACTACAGCAGCACTCTTACTCATGTAGTACTGCTTACTTATTGAGGCCTCTTAAACACAGAATATTCCTGATGGAATCAGTCTGGCTGTCTTCTGTTCTCTACAGTAGCACACTTTACATCCATTGTCTGCAAGTAACAAAGGGGGTTCAGGTGCTGGAAAAAAAACATTATGTAGACGACTGCGATTATAACCCAGAAGGGACATAATGGTTTCTGACTAACTCTAAGCTCTTAATCAAGGGCAAATTTAAATACTGCCATTATTAGTTTCTGTTACCCACCTGTTAAGAGGTGAATATTGCTCTACTGAATGTGGAATGAGAAGAGAGGACTGAAAGTATGGTTTAAAAAAAGATTGGTGTAAATTTATTTATTACTAGAATTTAGACATCAGGGGAATGTGAGGCACCAAAGAAGGTCATTGTGTGCATGTGAAACATCTGCTGTTTGTAGACCGCTGGCCTTATTTACACAAACGGCTTGCCTTAAGCATGACATTGGCCTGATCATTAGAGGACCAATACCCATCTCTCCATAGCTATTTATAGTGTAGCCCTCACATCCATAATTAATCAAATGCTAACAGGATATACCCTAAAATCTCATCCTCTCTTCTTCATCATATCACATTACCCTTTTATCAGGGTCAGTGATAAAAAGATTCAAGATCCATACATGCTACAGTCAGCGTTTTGTGTTTCATGAACAATTAGTATTATAACATTTAATACTGGCTCAGCACAGGGGGAAAAAAATACCACTTTTATGAGGATCACAGAAGAAAACATTTAAAAAATGTCTGATGTTATGCTTTGGACTCTGTTTACTTTCACTGTATGGACAAAAAGCTGAAACGTTCTTTAAAATGTCGTCTTTTGTGTTCCTCAGAAGAAAAACAAGAAAGTCATACAAGTTTGGAATTACATGAGGGTGAGTAAATGACGACTGTATTTTAATTTATAGGTGAACTTTCCCTTTAACACGAGTTAGAGAACTTTGACTTTGCCACTGAAATTCGCTTCTCACATTTCCAACCTGTTAGAGATGTCAAGCACATGGTCACACCTAGATCGCTCAAGATGTTTGCACTTGGTACCTCTGAGACTATTGAATTCAGCACTTCGGACATTGGCCCCAAAGAGCCCCAAATATCTTCAATCCCACCTCTTCCAGCAGAACTTTTACTATTCTAATAGCAGGAGTTAATTCACTGCTACTCCTACAGAGAAAGATGATGAGGATGGAGATCAGATCAAGGCTCTCGGAGAAGATAGCCGATGGCATCACCCCACACAGTTGCTCCTTTCTGCATACATATAACCCCCCTAGAGCCTTTCCATCTGTATGGAAATGTAGCCTCCACAGCTGGAATCCAGCAAAGCACTGTCCTTTTACTAATAGTTATTATCTCTGTGGACTATCCCTCTGATAGACCTTGCAAAACAAGCAAGTCGCATCTTTATGTTAATGCCCTGCTATAGTATACCAGCGCCTCAGGTGGCGCACGGGCCCAGGCGCCGGATTTCATTACTATAATTCCCATTATCACAGGCTGAGGCTCGTTCTGTGATTGGCACTATTGGCTAACACGCTGAGGTGATGGAACTGCCTTTTTGAGGTGATGCTCTTTTTTCGGATGTAATAAGCATTTTCTGCGGCCTGCAAAAATCGGTCGAAATGAGGTCAGGCGGTACTTTCTTCCCTCTTTAACTTCTACACTCCACTCCAGAAAAACAAAGGTTCTTTATTGGCATCTATGGTTCCATGAAGAATCTTTAACATCCATGGAATTCCTTTCCATTGCATAAAAGGCTCTTCACATTATTCAATTGTTTCTTGTTCACTAATAAAAAAAAATGTATTTTAAAGTTGACATGAAATGGAAGTTGCGATCGACTTTTATTCCCTAGTGTGAGGGATTCGAGTGAAACTGCTTCTCAAACAAGAACAAATGTAGGGTGGGACTTGATTTTGTCTATCATGAATTGATTGCTGTGATGTCATGTGAGTGACAGGTTGTCCCGCCCACGCGCCAGTAAACACATCATCAGAGAAGAGAAGACATGTTGCTGCAAGAGGGAGGTGAAGTTATTTTGATGAAAGACATGAATAAATAAATAACCATATTCAATATTCTCAAGAACTGTTCACTAAAAGGTTCTTTGGAGAACCCAAAATGGTTCTTCTATGTCTATGGGATTGCTGTGAAACCCCTCTTATAAAACCTTTGTAGCTGTTGTAAAACGCTTCTTTTAGTCAGCTTTGTCAGTCAATCCGGGCTGGACTCTGGACAAGCGTGCTGTGCGCATGTTTGTGATTTGAAGAATGATTGACAGCTGTGGTTGTGTGTGAAAGGGTTCCCCTTTCCTCAGGATGCCCTCACTGTCACACTGCCTTTTAGCACCTTTGTTCCCATCTTCTCTCCTGAGAACAGGTCCCCGCTGTGACAGATGAGGCCCGTTTGTGACAAAAGGGTTCTTGTGCTCTTGGCTGTCGTGAACAGACTCAGACACGCATACGCACGTCGCAGATAACCTCTATAATGCCTTCCACTTCCATACGGGGGTATCAATTCAAAAATCGCCAAGATAAATGCATGCTACAAACGCATTTTACAAAATGACACAAGTCTGTTTCAAACACACAGCAAGATAACGTGTTATTACTTGCAGCAGGTGTGTGTATGTGTGTGTTTGAGAGCTGCGCAAGGAAGGTTTCTAGAAGGAAGAAGATGAGCATCAGGCAAGGAGTGGAGTGATGTCTTGTTTACACATTAGCAGTGTGAAAAAAAACCCTGCTTTTACTCTCAAAATTCTCTCTCTCCATCACACTCCAAAGATTTCCCTAACATCCCTGTCTGCTGCTGTTTCTTTCAAGCGTGACACTCATACACACATACACACACATGGCCGAAGCTGCTTTGGTCTCCTGTTTGACCTTGACAGACTGTATGGCTCAAGAAGGGCTGGTGTAAATCTACACTTGGAGAAGCTACTCCACAGCACAATTAGTTAAAAAGAGACATTATTCCCAAAATAATCGAGCCCGGTGCTGTGGAACTGAAATTGGCCATGGCCGGCAGTCTGGGAGCTCTGAGCTGTGTTTTACTTTCTTGGGAATAAAACTATTAGTATGTAAATCTGTAAAGTCCCCATTATTATACTGACCCTTTTAGCTACCACTCTCATTCTGCCAATCTACTCTCTCTTCTATTTCCCCACTTAGCACCGCTTGTGCCTTTCATCGAGTGCATGTCATATCTTAATTCATACAGCCCGGTAATGCATTATGCAATGCACATAAACAGCTGCATTGCTATTCTTCCGGTCTGTAATATATGAGTACGGACAGTCTTATGTAAATCTACGTGCTTTTCTCTTTTAGACACACGCACACACAAACACACGCTTTTCTCTCCCAACACCATCTAATGAGGTGATGACCAACCACTTGTTATAATTGCTTCAGACTCCTTTTAATTTTCAAGCTTATTAATCATATGTAGAGTTATTTAAAAATGCATAAATTAATCTTGGATTAAAAAGCCGATCAAAGCCTCAAAACAATTAAAGAGTAAGGTGAGATTTCCCTAGGGCTGGCAGTTTTATTTTAATGGAGTGTTCAGGTGATTATCGCAGTTTGATGTGCAGGCTGTGATTAATGTAGGAACACTTAAATGAGTTTTTCTTTCCTTCAGTCTTGTAAAGGTAAGCATGATCCACATAATGACCCTCCTGATTCATCTCTTAATAACGTTCTCTTTTTCTTGCTGTCGTTGTGCGATAATAGAGGCTGGCTTTTTTGGGCTTAGTGTAGATTTTCCTTTAAAACGTTTTAAAAGTTCAGTTTTCTGTCCAAAAAGCTTTTAATTTAATAATTGAATTTAAGTTCATAATTCAACACTAGTGTGTTTGAAAATGTTAAGAATGAGACCACTCTTCATTTACTCATTTGTTTATTTCTGTTTTGATACTGTCAAGGATTGACCAACCCAATTAGTGAACCAAGTAGATACTATTAACCTTGCTGGGTTTTATTTTTGTATTTTTTGTATTTTTTTGTATTTTTTTTTGTCTCTGCAATTTAAAATCTTCTAGTGGAGTCTAAGCACAGTGACCCTGTGTCAAGGGAACCAAGAGTGACAAGTTCGTTTTAAAAGCCTTGTTTGTTTTGTACCTAATTTTCTGAGTTGACAAGTAAAATTACCGCAGCTGCCAGTCACAAATGGGCAGCCTCATTACATCATCAGGTGACCCTACCCTGACCCTTATAGAGGACAGACACAAGGTAGCATACAAACTTATGTTTGTGTGCACTTACACGTTCCATTAATTTTCTTCATTTTCTATGTAGATTGTAAGAATGTGTCAGCCAGTGACAGCCATATATTTGATATAGGCCTATTTGTCAATATTTAGTGAATATATGCTATATATACACTGTAAAAAATGATATGATCAATAAGTTATGACAACATATGTTTTTACATTGCTTTAACTCATCAAAATAAGTTAAGCAATTTTCAACCTTTTTTTATAAGTTATACAAGATTCAGCTCATTCAAGTCAGTTTAATGTAATTTAAGTTGGAATGACTTAAACATCCAAGTTGATTGTACTTTAAGGCAGCAACTTTTTAATGAATTATTTATTTATTTAGCTAGCTTATATATAGCTATTAGTCTTACATAGCCTATATGTGCAAATAATGACAGCAGCCTACTAATGTCTTGTCGATAGCCTTCCAATTAGACGGCTATTATTAGCGTTTGTAGGCTAACCAATCGCAAAGGCGAGCGTATTTAGCAAATTCTGGCAAGGCCTAATATAATTTCTGTGGTTACTGAAATGATGTTGAAACACATATAACCTATACATAGCATATTTGTAAAATGAATATCTACTTTTAAAACATCCAACTTATAACTATATATAAATAATGAACCCGCACTGAGTCTCTGCTTGGCCATTCACGCAGGCGCACAGCCTTTTCATTCGCTCATTTGTAGTGCAGCTGTTGCGCGTTTTCTCGTTTGTATTGTGCGGTCTGTTCTGCACAAGCACAGCCTTCACTTTTCAGTCCACCTGGGTCGACACACAGCGTCCTCATACACAACTATTACCGTCGCGTCCGCCTTTAACAATGTCCAGTAATTAAAATGTCACCATTTAATTTTCTGGCCACACCGATCCTTTTGGAGCAATCCGCTCTTAATAAAGGATCTAATCGAAATGCTATTTCGAAGTGAAACAAAAAGGCGATGAAACGCAGCCCAAGTGTGGCGATCGATAAAGGAGAAGAGGATTGATTTGTCCCTAAAATTAAATTTAGTGGGGTCATGGTTTTATGCTGATACCTTGTAGAAATATAGTGTTTACTCGCCAAGCTCCATTCTGAGGCGAATTTTATTTAATGGTTATTTTATATGTTTTGGTATGTAACTTTTAAAGAAAGTTTTATTTTGTCCACTTTTATTTCAAAGGCCATTAACTTGTCCAAACGAGCTGTCTAACAGGAATGAATAGGGGTCACTGGAAACTCCCTGCCGCTTTATACAGCAACACAACACGGTTGCTCCGTGTTCTTGTTCTAATCTGTCGAAATGCCAGCACGTGCAATCCAATAGTAATTAAGATTGAAATATTGCGTTTGGCTTTTTCGGGCTTTTCATCTTTTCCTTTTTTTCATCTTTTTTTTTGTTTTGTTTTTTGTTGCATTAGCCTACTCCGATATTTTGAGAAAAGAAAAAATCATAAATTTGAACATTTTAATTTTAAACGGCCTAAATATTTTTAGATTGATATTTAGCCTAAGGGTTATTCATTCTTTGACTTTTATGAATGTATACGTTATTGATATTATTGATGTATATCGTCTTCGACTTTTAGTGATTTAGGCAAATCTTAGTTTAAATAGCTGTTTTGGAAGGACACGAATTTGCGTGTTTAATGCTCTATTAATCTAACAATGCTCGCCTAACTGACTGAAACTTGTATAGGCCTATTGAAATGCTAAATAGAGAAACTGTAATAAACTATTTCCCTTCCATTAACCGATTAAATCTGGTTGATGACATTCAATAACCTATAAGAACTTCTCAGTTATTTTCCATTTAAAATAATAATAAATAATAGGCTATTAATTTAATGATTATTATTAACATATTTTTGTTGATTTATTTGGTTTGATTGTTATTAATTTAATTGCTATTAACGTTGTATTTTAAGCAGGTTTTTTTTATATATATTTATCAGTAGGCCTACAACAAGATATACGTCTGACATATGAAGTGTTCTTTGTTCTAGAATGGGGTCTCTAATTTCTTAAGGATTAACAAAAGGGCTAAATTAAATATCGTGTGAGGTGTCGGATTCCCGTAGCCTACCTGCCCTGAATTTAACCATGATGGGTGAGTAAAAGAAATAATGGATGGATAACAATATGGCATTCAGCTTGGTCCCTGAATAATTTAAAAGAAGTGAATAATTACAGTCCAAAATGGTAATTATTGTTGGCGAGAAAGAAAGTCTCTTGCCTGTGAAAGTCAATAGCACTGGGCTGGGTCGCATTACTCCAAACTCCCTCCCCAGGACCTCCCTCCGCTATCAATATTGCAGAAAGCTATAGCGCTCGTTTTCACATCACAAGAGTTCTGGAGAGACTATCATGAACAGTTCAACTTAGCGAGGTAACGGTTAAAAGCTGGAAATATAGATCAAATTCTCTCTTCACTTTAATCATGGAATCGCTTTAAAAGCATTGCAAATAAGATATGTTGGTTTCATTTTATTTATTTGATTGATAATCATTTGTGCCAAGCATTTCTAAAGTAACGGGGACCCCGATTTTAATTTTGTAGTCGCAATTTAAGAGTTTATTAGAGTTCTTATTGTGATAATTTTTTATTAGTAGTAGGCTATCCTATTAATTATTGCTTCTGCAGAATCCACTTGATTTTGCGTTATATCTGAAATATTTAATGCAGACGCGGCTTTTAAACTGGCTTTAAAGCGTAACGTTGTAAATTGCGCTTTGTCTTCATAAGAATGATTGCTCCTAAAAGTTAAACTAACCCGTGGGAACTTAAACATATGCGGGCAACAGCACACCCCTAACCCACACCGATCCAAATAGCCCCCGGAGACAATCATTGCTTAGCCTATAAGTCCCCCGGCACCATGCAGTTTCAATAACAGTAGTATAGTTTATTTTTTTAAAGACACTGAATATAGATGAAAAGGCTCGAGGCCATCCCCTTTTTAATTTTTGTTTATGCACTCTTTTACTTTATTCTTTTTCATATAATTCCCAACACGTTCCATTTCATAACAAACTAGCCTATAAATCGTGAATTATGCACAAAATAAATTATTTATTTTATCTAGAACGTGTGTGTCTGTGTGTGTGTGTGTGTGTGTGTGTGTCCGTCTACCTGGTAAAAGACATTAAAACAAATCAGTGAATCCTTTTTATTTGTAAACAATAGGTTTAATCCAAGAGACTTTTCATCAGCTGACACTTGCTTCGATTTTTTTCTATTCTTTTCTTTCTTTTCTTATTTTGTATTTTTATGTAGCCTGTTAAGTTTTGGTGCGATTTAAAAAGAATCATGGGACAGCAAAAATATTAACCGTTATGCAGATACATTTGAGAAAATATTTTATTTTATATTAAAAAAAAACTTAGGCTACTACAACAACACACTGGCTACCCGTTTTCTCAGAACGCATCATAGAAATGGTATTTCACATTAAACAAACCTTTTCGTAGCCTACATACAGCATTTAGACGACTACCAGGGTTGACTAATCTAAAGTCTTCCTAAATGCCACGCACGCCCCCGCGCACACTGGCAGACAAGCAATCACTTTCATGTGTTAAAAGATCACGTGGTGAACTTTAAACGTCTCCAGGCCTCGGTGACAGCACTGACTGTCGTCCCCATTGGTCCCGAAGGCAAATAGTTAATGTAAATATGCTGGCGCTAAGTGGGAGTGCCTCGCCATTAGTTTAGCTGTCACTTGAGCGCTGTCGAATGTCTTCAGTGGTTGTGTCGTTGAGGTCCGCACTAGCATGTGGTCACCCTCCGCGCGCACCTCTACAGTAGTCGCGGGAGAGCCGAGTATGATGCAAGTCCACGCGCTCTAATAGGCCTGAAAGAAAACCAAAAAACAATCGCTCGTGGACATTTTATATCAGCTCGGCGGGATTCCAAGGCGTCTGATTACCAGAACGCTCTATAGAGGACAGCGCATTTATCCAAAGGACTCCAAGACGCATTTTCGAATACGCATTTTCATCCACATATAAAAGGCACTTCGCGTTCTTCTGGGAAAAAAAGGTGAGATTTGTCCATTTTTGCAATGTAAATTGTTGTTTCTTTATTTGTTCAGAGGTAGAAATTACCGCGAAGAACGCTGCGCTGCCTGTGTCTCTATCCAATTTTATCCAAAAGCGTAGGCTACTTAATAATAGGCTACTGCTTTGTGTATTGAACACTGTAAGTGAAATGCATGCGTATGATAATAAAACATCAGGCTAAATATGTAAAATCTATTGCAATATATAGGCTAGCCTCTTTACAATATAGACATAAAATAAAATGTATTAGTCAATTTGTAAAAAAAAAAAAGAAGGCGCATTTTTAAATGTAACTAAAATTGTAAATGGAAAAAGAGGTTAGAATGCAAACAAGGAGCCTGTCTTAATTATAGGCTCGTTCACTTGGTTTTTAACAACAGATCCAAGACGTAAAGCTCATCTTTTAGTATACAATAAAAGTGGCTTAAAGCTTCTTACACCTTTGTTAAGCTCTTTGACAAAGCTCAAGGAATTTATTGGAACTTTTATTGGAATTTCAAAACGGTCTATTGTATTGCACACAAAAAGTAAACTTGTATCCTAAACAAACATAAATAAATTAAATATTGGCTAAATATGATGAACGTCCAGAATTTCGATGCAATAAAAGGACGTCAAATTTAATACTCTTAAAACGATCATCTCGGTATCTCAGATTTGAAAACAGATCAATTATTTTCATATGGATTAATTAAACCTGGCGGCCATCGAGGCATAAGTAGCAGTCTTTTGAATTTTCAGCATGAGACAATCTTATTCTTCTCTCCTTCTCATTGTTATTATTATTTTTGATCGCTATAGAATTCTGTGAAATAAAGACAATAATAGGCATCGTTGTTGTTGTTGTTTTAGTTTTCCACCCCGTTTGTAATAGCCTAGGCTATAGCCTTTAATATAGTGTCCCTAAAATATTATTTTTGTCCCTCTTCGCAGATTTCCAGGAATGGAATCTATCCCAAATCAGCTGCCGGCTGGAAGAGACTCCAGCTGTTCGCCGAACTCCAAACAAGACTTGCAGTCTTACTCTGGTCCAACACTCAAGCCGAACCAAGTCAGTGAGACCTCTTTATACGGAATACCGATCGTTTCACTAGTCATAGACGGTCAAGAGAGACTTTGCCTAGCCCAAATATCCAACACCCTTCTGAAGCACTACAGCTACAACGAAATCCACAACCGGCGCGTGGCCCTGGGCATCACATGTGTGCAGTGCACCCCGGTCCAGCTGGAGATTCTCAGGCGCGCGGGGGCAATGCCCATTTCCTCGAGACGCTGCGGGATGATTACAAAGCGAGAGGCCGAGAGGCTCTGCAAGTCGTTCCTGGGCGCCCACAGCCCGCCGAAATTACCCGAAAATTTCGCTTTTGACGTGTCGCACGAATGCGCGTGGGGCAGCAGGGGCAATTTCATCCCAGCCAGATACAACAGCTCGAGAGCGAAGTGCATTAAGTGTTCGTTCTGCAACATGTATTTCTCTCCAAACAAGTTCATATTTCACTCTCATCGCACGCCGGAGTCCAAATACACGCAACCCGACGCAGCAAACTTCAACTCGTGGAGAAGACACTTAAAACTGAGCGATAAGAACTCACCAGATGACGTGGCCCATGCCTGGGAAGATGTCAAAGCCATGTTTAACGGGGGCAGCCGCAAGAGGACGCTGCCAATCGGTGGGTCTGAAAGTTCGTCCTCGCATGGTACACAACGAGCGGGAGGTCAGACCCAGGGGGAACCGTCTGAGGTGCCCCACAAAACTCTCCGATGTGAGGATGACCGGGGGAACGTGGCCATGCCGAGCAGCATCCGCAGTTACCCTGTTATTCCGGTGCCCAGTAAGAGTTTTGGGATGTTACAGAAAATTCCACCACCGCTCTTTCCACATCCATACGGTTTCCCGGCTTTTGGATTGTGTCAAAAGAAGGACGACGGCGTGGTGATGGGAGAGCCAAACAAGACAAACCTGTCAGGTGTGTTCTGGCCGAGCGCTAAGGACAGTGCATATCCCTCCTTTCCGATGTTTTGGCCTACGACAGGCAGCTTGGCCATGCCGACATACCACCATGCCCAACCTAAACCTCCTTCTGACGTGTTATGCACCAGACATGGTGATCTAGACGCGTCAGAGCAAAGTGACCGAAGCACGAGCACCCCTAAAGACAGTTTACTTGATAATGAACGGTGTTCCAGCACTCAGTCTACCCGGAACGAGGAGGATAAATCTGGGGATGAGAGCAGGTCTATAGAGGGAATGCCAGCCGCCACCAGAAAAATAAGCTACATATCTGCATTCAGGCCTGTTGTTAAAGATGTTGAGAGCATCGCGAAACTTTACGGCAATAGGGGCCCGTATTCTGGTCCTCGATCCGGCTATATGTCACCAGATTTCTTGAGTGAAAGTTCTAGTTATAGGTCGGTGTCTCCGGACGTGGACAGCGTGGACGATCCGGATGTGGATGTGGAGTCGCATAAAGCGCACGAGGATGAGGAGTGTGTGCAGCTGTCTGTGGATGACCGGCGGAGTCCTCACAGTTCGGCCGAAGCGCTGAGTGACGGGGTTAAAGGTCAAGACCAAGAGAATAGCCAGATCCACACTATAGGTGATCTACACTCGACAAATCCAAGTGAAACGCGGCCGTCTGATTTGGAGAGCAACGGCAATAAACACACGACGCGCTTTGAAGTGAGTAGGCTAGCCTAACTAAATACATAGGCTACAGGACCGCGCATAATTCCTGCGGATTTTTTTTTTTTTTATTTAAATTCTCTCATTAATTTAAAAAGCAAGGTGGCCTACTAAATAAGTTGTTTTTAGGAAGTTATTCATGATTATAGGCTATTCATTCTAGACATTTATAATTAATATTCCCTGTTTTTTTAAAAGATAAAAACATATAATAAGATAAAGGACAAAATTGTCAGGTAAAAATTGGCATAGTAAAAAGGTCTTTAAAAAACACTAATCTATTTTTAATAGGCAATTTTTTCTCTCTCTCTTCAGTAAATCTTTTCGATTTCTAAATTTTATTCAGTGTATTTTAATTTTTAATCAAATTTACATTATTCGGGTAATTATTGTTAATGTAGCTAATCGAATTTGTGAACAAGGTGAATGCATCCAAATCGTCGCGATGCTTTTAAAACGTAATAATGAATTGTGGTAATTTGTCGTGAGTGGTATAATGGCTCTTCTTAGTTCATTAAAAATGTGATTATATAAATATAGTAATGTTCTACTCGGATTGTGCTAATCACATTCAAAAATAAAAATTGAAAAATTGCCAATAATTGTCTGCTCAATTTTACAGGTCTATGCGCGTGAAAGAGACGAGCACGTGCATCAAATGAGCACATCTTATTTTGGTTCAACGACCTCCTATCAACGCGAACAGAGTGGTAGGCCTATTTTCATTCATGTGGACATTTACATTTCTTTCTTCATTTTTTAGAAACAAAAAGATAGCGTACGGCATTTGTGTTATAAATATATTTACTTATAGTTAAAGACGTGCACGAAGAAGAACCTTCATCTACAGTGGAGGAGACTGAACCCAAAACTCAACAGGATCAAACCAACGTCAACGAGGAGCGCCTGAAGGAACCAAATGATGGTACGTACCGTTTACTGGACCTCCTGATATTCAACACCAGTCTGTTGATTTTCTTCATGCTGTATTTGTTGTGTGTTCAGACGAGGAAGCAATGCGCAATGACACTGGCAGCAGGGGCTCCTTGATTGAGAAAAACATAGAGAACATGGCCAAAGGTAACAAAACAAAACAATACATGACTGAACATTACCATAGTCAACACATTTAGCAGAACTGATGAGAAAATCATGACATCATGTGGAAAATTATGGCACATAATAGAACCTTAATTTGTTGTTTCTGGAAATTATTGTTTCCATGATAGAGCATGTTTTTTTTTTTATTATGGTTATTATTTTGTAATTCAAAGTCATTTTGAAACATTTGAATAAATGCCTCTTTTATTTATTTTAACAGAGGAATTGCAGAAACAACTCGTGGAACAAGTCGAGCTTAGAAAAAAGTTAGAACGGGAATTCCAGAATCTAAAAGGTAGGTTGTTTTATGTTAATTTTCTTTCTTATGTATTCTTTCCTAAACATATACAAGGCTATCAAAAATAAGATCAGATCATTGACTAATTCTCTAGTGTTCATTTGCCGTAATGTTCTAAACAGATGAGTTGTTTTATTCAGTTTTTTTTTTTTTTTTTTACCAACTTACAAGTTGGTCAAATAAGCTATAATTAGCTACAATATAAGTAATAATAAATTGAAGGTAACACTTTACATTTGTTATCATTATTTAACTGCATTAGTTACCGTGAATAAGGAAAGATATTTCTAAAGCATTTGTATATAATGTTAATTTCAACATTGTTACAATCAAAAGTAGTATCTGTTTATATGATTTAATAGACCTGAGCTTATGAGAACTAACAATGAGCAGCTGTATTTTTATTAACTAATGTTTAATAACATTAATGATAATGATAATGAACTAATGATTAATACACACTAACAAATGTCTTGCTTATTGTTAGTTATTGTTAGTTAATGTAGCCTGTTTAAGAACTGTAACTTTGTGAGCAATAAAAAAATACTATATATTTGAATATCATTCATTTTTAACAACTATGGATTACGAATTACCTTTAAAATGCTGATTAGTTGTCCATTTGAAATTAAATAGCTATAGCTATATTAAAAACCTCACAGTTAACGAATCATTTTGTCATGTGTAGGGAGTCTATCAAGAGCTGCATCAAAGAGTCCATCAAAGCTCAGTAAGAAGAGTTCTGCATTACACGGACAATTCTGACAAAATTCATGACATTGAAAAAATTTTGTAGTCAGTTGGTTGAATGTAATGCTTGGGAATAATTCTTGCTGTTGGATGGCTTTTAATCCGCACAAACTGGGCATCTTTTGAAAAATTGATATGGATGCTACAGAAAACGCTGAAATACTGCAACAGAAACAAAATACTGAAGCTCATGATAAAGTTTAGAATGACATTGATTTAAACGCAGGGGAAAATGCTATTAAATGTTATTACCCCAAAAGATGTCATGACTGGACATGTTTGCAAAAAGTACATTTTTGTGTATTATTTTTAAAGAAACAAAATACATAAAACAGCTTCACATATAAATATGTACACATATAAATCATAAAGAAATAAAATGCAGGGTAAATCAGACAAAAGCACTGTATCATTTTTGATTTCGTGTATACATAGCGATATGTATTTTGATATTTAATTTAGGTCACATTTTCTTCTTAGACAGTTTTCAAGACCAAATGAAAAGAGAGCTTTCCTACAGAGAGGAAATGGTGCAGCAACTCCAGATTGTTCGAGGTAAGCGTTCGACTTCACACGACAAAACACAAAACACTAAACTGTTGTTTCTATCAGAACTGATCACCTTCTGTGGTCCTTTTTGGAGTTCACAAGAGTTTGTTCAGTCTTTTTATAAGCTACTAAGCAGGATGTTTCTGCAGTTTTCCCTTGCCGTGTAAGAGAGTTGCATAGACAGGGAACTGGTGGTTTTTGTCAGCTTTGGATTCCAGAAAAGGCCATGCATAAAACTGAACCAGTTTAGATGAGAGGGGGGAAATCCACACCTGAGATGTCTCCTGCACAGACACTTTGTGCAGCGAGTTGGACCATGAGAGAAAGACACGATATGCTATTCAGCAGAAGTTAACCGATTCTGGCAAAGGCAAGCAAATATTAGCGTTCAGAAGACTAAAGGAAGTATCCAGGCACAGTGACCCCATTTACACCTGGTATTAAAATGAGATCTGTATCAAGATAAGTTATCCGGATAATAAGCGTTCTGATCTTACCTTTGCGTTTACACCTTGTATTTTTAATGCGTTCTCGTTATCCACATTGAGTTCGGATCTCTGTCCTCCAGAAAAAAAAAAAGACGTTTGGCAGGTACGAATGCCATCACGTCGTACGGATTGCGTTTACACCTAGTAAAGATCCGAACACAATGCGAGCCAGACTACCTCCAGATGTGGTCAGGAAGATCCGTTCACAACGTATTTACACCTTGCATTAACATGCGTTTTTTATTATCCGGATAACTTATCTGGATACAGATGGCATTTTAATACCAGGTGTAAATGGGGTCAGTGTGACCATATTCAAAAGTGCGACCTTGATGACTCTTGTTCACTTGTAGACCATTTATATATGATTTCAGATTTGGGCCGTACTGAATTGTAGCAATTATCGTCCTAGAACACATGATTTCCCTCTCTATACACACACACACCAACACATAATGGTATGCCGCTTCTATTTTAAACGACTCATTCACTTTTTTCCCAGAAGCTCACGACGCACTACACCATTTCTCGTGTAAGATGCTGACTCCCCGTCACTGCTCTGGGACCTGCACCTTCAAGTCTCCTCTTCTACCACCTTGATGGACACCTATTCAAGACGTACACGTTCTTTAGAAATACTGCTGTGTCAAATAAAACTTTACTTTTCTTCCTCTGCAAAACACTGTCAACCTTTAGACCTGGAATAAGCAAGTGTGTATTGTAGTATTTTAGCTTATACACTGTAATGAAGTCATTTTCATTTGCAAAGGAGTGTTTTCAGAGTCACTGTATGTACTGTATAATTTATATAAAGTTCTAGAAAATTGCATTATTAAAAAAAAAATGTCATCCCACTTAAACATTATTATCATCAGCTGTAGAAATCACTGGTAATAAGTGGCTATGTGCAATGCATATATTTGTTATGTATCCTGTGATACCTTTTTTTTTTTTTGTTAGTGATCGGTTAGGACATTTTGTTCAATTAGATGCAACGATAATTAATGTTTTTGTATATATTATTTATTCCAAGTCCATGTCGGTTGTTTATTCTCATCTGCATATTTGTATATTATTGATGTAAAGCACTTTAAATTGGCAGCCCTGAAATGTGGATTAAATGATCTTGTTTGAGTTTGTCTTTATTTCATCTATTTCCATAACAATGAGCTACATTTGCATATGTGTGAGTCACAAAGAACAACATGATAAATTATATCAAAATCTTAATATATTCCTTAATATTTATCATTATGACAGTTTTGCAGAAATCCAAAAGGTTTAGAAACTATATTCTGAAATTCAGGGTTTTGAGGAAACCAATACAACCACTAATATCATCATACTTTTCTGAATTTCTATCATTTATTTTGTTCATACTGTATTAATATGAGTGGATTTACAATTTTCTCCATTTTATTCCCTTTAATTTTGGTCCATTCCCTGTAAAAAAATACTACTGCTGCAATTAGTTTCCATAACTTAAAATTACATTACAATAACTAATAATATCATACTTTTTTTAAAACTGTTCGTTCTGCCTTAGAATTTAATTAACTTTTTTTGTGTGGGTTTTTGAGTAGCCTAATGGCAACAAAAATCACAAAATTTTGAGTGTTGGTGATGTTTACATTTAACATTTTTACGTTTAGGATATATATATTTATCAGTTCTTGCTATCCATCGAAACCGTGACCTTGGTGTTGCAAGCTCCATGCTATTGAGCTACAGGAAGACTTTGAGTTGAATATATTTACTTACAAAAATGATTATATAATCAATAGTTAATCAGATTTTGCATTTTTTCATGCCTTTTGTTTGGTTTTATATTTGGTAGGTATCAAGGCAATTGCAATACTCATACACTTCAGCTGCGTCCGGAATCGAATACTTCCCTACTAGGCCTATGTGAAAAACAGTACGCGAGCAGAGTAGCATGTCCGAATTCATAGTATTCGAAAAACAGTAGGCGAAAAGTACCGGATGACCTATATTTGATTTATTGATTTGTACACATTCAAAATTATTAGCTACTTTTAGAGTAGAAATAGTTTTTAGTTCTCATCATTTTATGCTTTTTGTTAAGCAGTGTTTTGTGAGTGTGCATCACTGTGTCTCTAAAGGCCAACTAGGTCAATGAAGCACCACATATACATAGCTCTTTTAGTTTTTATCTCAATGTTTTGGTTCAGCTGGTTTGTGGCGGGTCTGAAAACAACCTTGGAGATGAGATTCTGTTTGATTCTTTTCGCTTAGCCCATCAACTTCCATAAAACATGTAGCCTACTTCAAGATATGCGGCGGCCCCATATCAGCTCAAGTTGTTTAGTAATGGTAAAAATAAATGTTCTGCCTTCATATTTTATAGTCAGTTGTATTCAATATTAAAGGTTTCTAGAACCTTACTATTTTTTAACCCATCAGGATGTTGATAGGTCACATAAATTGATTTGAGCACACTGTTAACAATTTATTGTAATTTTACAGGAAATTCCTGGCAACTAATTGCAGTAAATTTACAGCAAGTAATATACAGGATTTTTACTGTTTACTGTTACAATAAAGTACTGTATTTATACAGCAGTGCTACTGTGATTATAGTAGCATTATTACAGTAAAATGCTGTAATTTATTACAATTTACTGTACATTTACTAAGTTCCGTATTAGCCAATTAAAAACACAACGATGGTAAAAATTTACCATTGTACAATTTTTGCCACCATTATGGTGAACAGTGTTGCCTTTAGTTGGGCAATTTGACTCTAGACTTCTTATGTGAATTTATGGTCATCATACATCATTTGTTGCAAAGAAAGTCAGAAACAAAAGTGGTCTAGTGATAGGCGTATAGTTTACAACATAATAAAATACAAAAAACAACCGAAAGTGGTCATTTGTCATTAATACATTTTTTTATACAGATCAGACATCAAGCTGATATTTTTTCTAAAATTGGGAATGTAATATTTGGGCAGACACACAGACATCAAGAATCTACATATGAATCTCAACAACGGTGACATGCTTTATGCCACAATGCATTCCGGGAGGCTACATAGTTTAAAACTCCCAGCATGCATTGTAGCATGAAGCATGTCACCATTGTTGAGATTCATATGGTGATTCTTGATGTCTGTTTGTTTCTATAAAAAAAATTATAATGATTTTTTTTTTTTTTTAAATCAAAAAATGTATACAAAAATACCCTGTGTCAAGTAAGGTCAAAGTTATTTATTAATAACAAATTACAACTTTTGGTCAGGGTTCAGGATAAGATTAGTGATTCATTCTCCTTTTTTAATAATGAAAACTATAACACCTGAACACCTTTGGTTTTGTTTTCCTATGTAACAAATTATGTGCTTTGGTAAACACTGTTACAAAGACCAAAATTTAACTTAAAATGCTAAGAGTCAAACTGCCCAACTAAAGTAAACACTGATCACCATAATGGTGAGCAAACCTTTTAAAACATCGACATCTAACCTCCGTACATAGACTTATGACTGAATTAAAGTCAGTCTGGTTAGTAATAAGTGAAGCTGGTAATGCTGTTTGTGGAGTTGTTTAATCCTCCTCTGCTGAGATCTTCAGAGATTTAATGTCTTCTTTTTATCTTTATCTGATTTTAAGGCTGTGACTGGATATCCATAGACTTATAAAATAGATTTCATGGTAATGTTTCATACCTGATTCTTCCTAAAATGTTTGATTCTGGTACCGTTGGCAGCCGCCGGGCAATTTCAAAATTCAAACAGCAGCAATCCCACAATGCTATGCGGTGGCTGTAAAATAATGCTTCTACAGTGTAGTTACAATAAAATTACAGGACTGTCCATACATTTCCCATCATGCATTTGCATTTACAATAAAAACATGAATACAATATGTTGTTGTAAAATTTATTGTAAAAATTACATCAATTGCTAACAGTGCAGTTATGCCTATTATTAGTGTTCAAGTCACATTTTCAAGCCAATTCTGTAGACTTCTGCATCTGGAAGTCTATCGAACCCAGCTGTGTTCCCCCAAATTTTTTTTGTTGCAATTATCCAGCACAGATGAGCAGAATTATAGGTGCCCAATATGACTTTATTTAAAATAAATAAATAAATGCACAATAAAAAAACTTTACAAAAATATATAATAATGATAAAACTTAAAAAAGAAACGACGTAAAATAATAAATGCCCTCCCAAATTGTCTGCAGTTTACTACAAGAATGAAAGAAAGAAAAAATAAAGAAATCGTCCACTAAAGGAGACGGAGTTGCAAAAAAGGTGCGAGTCTGCCATCTAGTGGACACCTTTTTCATAGCCTATTTGTAATAAGTGCCTAGTTTTGTTCATGTTATTACACGCTGAAACAAATATATTCTACAGTGTCCTTGTTACATATGTAAGACTACATGTACATGTAAATTATGCTTAATTACAAGCAGCTAACCCTCAACCAAACCCTAACCCTATGTTGCTAATTAATATTACTGAGTATTTAAATATATAATTACACTGTAGCCTATGTAACAATGTTGGTGAGCAAATAGTTCCTTTGAGTCGTCGGATCTTTTCATCGAATAACTCATTTGAGCCTGTTTACAAAAATCGCACAATCGACAATGAAAAGTAATGGGATGAAATGGGATAAGAAGTATACAATTAAGTAGCCAATAGCAGAACCGTTACGAATAACTTTCTTGCCTATATTAGGCCTACGTCTTGATTTACAACATATGATTTTTTTTATTTTTTTTAACTCAGCCAAAAGGTGTAAACGATTTAAGCATCGTTTAATATGAATGCTTATATTTGGGCTCAACATTGCAAGGTGAATCATGGCTGCAACAACTAACTTAGACACGACATAGCTATGCAATTACAACACTAAAGGAAAATGCTTACAGCATGTAACAGGACTATAACACGTTGGAATGCCAGAGTGCACGTAATTACAAATGTAAAAACGCGAACACATGACACAATCTGATTTGTTTACTCTTGTTTATTGAAACAAATTGTTCGAAAGAACCGATTCTTGGAAATGACTCATCAGCTGACAATTTTTCTGGGAAATGTAACGTTAGCTGATATACCATTTTGTTTAGTCAATAAACACATTTACGAATTGTATTGATTGATAAATCAACCAAGCGAGTGCGTTTCGTTCCAGGAGATCTTGTCGCTGATGTGTGATGCCATGTATTCCATTCAAGCAGCGTGAAATCCCGTAATCCTCGCGCTAATTTTTAAACTACAGAGGGATTCCTCAGCATTTGAACAAACACACGTTCTGGTCACGTGCCAAGGCTCAGATCACGCTTGCGCCAGAGAAACAAGATGGCGGAGAGTGCGGAATTGAAGGTAAAGTGTAACCCACAAATTACTGTCAATTAAGCCTTTATAAAAGACCTGTTCGGCGATGCTTTCCGTCTGACCTGTTCCTGTGATTGACTTTTGTACGAGGCGTCGTTCGGTATTTGATTTAGAAAGCGCTTTATGAGCAGTTTTGAGCCCGGTTAAAGGAACAGTGTTATTGTTGTGATGGATCCAGCTAGCTGCCAGCTAACCCGCACAGCTGTCTGCCTGCTGGTGTGAAATTACCCCCCTTCCACCTGAATTGATATATTAATACGATTAATTGTTCTTTTAACGTTTAAATGAGGTGTAAAATAATCCATGGGCCGTCAGAGGAGTCGGTCGTAAGTGTGAAGCAGCATGTGGGTGGTGCGTAGGCTGCTAACAGGCTGGAGATTCGGTACTTTGACAGTTAGGACTTCTGCTAACCCGCTGCATTTATAAAAACAGAATTACTGCTTAGTCTCATAACATAGATAGCTGACAACCAAGACTAAATTTTGGGCATCATAGAAACGTTTGAATATTTGTGTTGAGTCTGTGACGTCCAGAATGCTCTGTGTGTTTACAGAACACAAGATTTTGAGACCCAACCATCGACCATGGCCTGTTACTTTTAGTTTCTGGATGTTTTAGTAGGAAGTTCGTGTAACGTTATGTTTAGCTAGCTAGTACTTACATGAGTGATGTCTTAGGTTTGAGATGTCCTGCATTGAGACAAGACATGAAGACATTTAATTGTGAAATCTGTTATTGTTGTTAATTTTGATGTTATTGTTTCCCCCACCTGTGTAGTCTTGTTTTAATCACGATATGGATTGCTAGTGATCGGTCAGTTGTTATACTGTAGTGTTACTTATGGAGAGGTCTAAACTGACTGTGACTTAGACAAAATACTGTCAAAAGTAGTTGGTGGTTATTTTTAAGGTTTTCCGAAACAGATAAAATGGGCTCTTGTCTTGTGTACTGTGTGTAGTAGAAGTTTCCTTCACAAAAGCTTTATTTGGTAATAGGACATTGTACCTTGATACTCTTGTTGGCAATAAAAAATAGTAATTTAGCAGGGAGAAAAACAGGACGATAAGCATTATTGTTATGTTTTATGTTTATTAAAGTAGATTTAAGCTGTACATTTTAGGTGTGTGTCAGTAGAGGAGGCATTTCCTGGGGTTTTGCCATTTAAGACATGTATTTGGAGGACAAGCTTGCTACATTAGAAAAAGGACAATTTGCTGCTAAAAGGCAAATATACAATATTTAATGGTAACAGGCAGTATTAGCATTAACTGAAAATAATTATTTTTGAATCAAGTTGATATGAATTATTCTTTTTTTAATTAGTTTTTAAATAAATATCAATTTGCTATCTTGGATAGTCTTTTAACTTCTAGAATCCTATAACACTGTTAGTCTTGCCAATGTTGTAGGCTAGGCTATATATTTAAACCAGAAACAAGCTTAAAAAGAAATGTATGTTTTTTGTCTTCATCGCTGATTAAAATCAAGAATGTTTTATTTGCTTTCAACGGTCACCGTCTGAAATAACTCATCAAATGAAATCCAATTTTGAGTTGTTTAAGGATTTAATGATAAAACATACACTTGTAATACTTCTAATATAATATGTTTTTGTGAAATTTTAATTCTAGCTTTGACAATTGCATTGGAGACCTGCATCCTTTGTTAAGGGTAGCGGTCAAAACAAAAGGTTCACAATTTACACCAGATAAACCACTTCCTGATGGTTTTAAAACATAAATTAAAAATTTCTATTGTTTGTGTAATTATTGGGGATGGGGAGGTAGTTTATTATCAAGAACTCTGCCTAATTTTAATTCGTTATCAATTATTATAATTAGATTTATTTTAATGTTATTGAGCATCAATGCATTTGTGGGTTATGCAGATCGGAAACTTGCTTTACGCAGTTACCAAAATGACATCCTTTCAGAGAAGTGCTTCCTTTAGATTATGTCTTTGTCATAAATGAGTCAAGGCTTATGACAATAACCACACTCATTACAACGAAATAAACTAAATCAGTAACCACATTGTTGATTCAAGCAGTTGTTTTATTAAATGCACCTTTTTCTGTATAGCCTACTATTCAGTCTGTTCTCAGCTCTTTGCAAGGAGATCAGACCATAGAACAGAGCCTATTATTGTCTTGCTTTGATGTTTTTGGAAGTAGTGCTGGAATTATCTGAGGGCCTAAAGAGATGATCTGTCGTCATTTACTCACCCTCATGTTGTTCTAAACCTGTATACAGTTTTTCTTTTTAAAAGAAAAATTCTGAAGTCTGCGATGGTCGCTCATTTTCCAATCCAGTCATAATAAATGTGTGCTGAAGCTTTCTAGCTTAAACAGCTAGAAACCAACCTGCAGGGTTTCCTCGGTCATGTAAAGCCATGAAATAGCAGGAAACTTAAAAATTGTGAAATGCTAATACAATCTTAAAAGGGTGGTGACATGAGAAATCAAATTTTTGGACATATAAGGCTATTTTTTACCTTTGAAGCAACATTATTTAGGGTTAAAAGTTTATAAAAAAGCATTTATGTAACCAAGCTTCAAAAACGGTTTGTTTAGATGATGTGGGACGGTCCTGTGACGTCAGGTCACACAGGCAAATGACACATTTGCATATGACTGCCACTAGAGCATGACATCAACAAACAAGGCCATTGGCGTTCAGTCACTTAACGGGCCTTGTGTCAAAAGCAAATAGAACCCATTATAATCACTGAAGCTGTCTACAGTATACAAATGCCTGTTCAATTTCTGATGTACCCCATTGTGCTTGAGTCTGCTGACAACAGGACAAATTGGAGAATAAAAGAACATTTGCTTTGACTAGTCTTGTTTAAACAGCTTGTTTGAGTCTCTTGCTGACAAGCCTTAAAGGAGCCTCCCCTTAATAACCAATCATTTCAGAGAGAGGGTTAGAATGAGGGTTGAAAATAAGAATTTTTCCACATATATTTGCTTTTTTGCGCAAAAAAAACTGACATCAAATGAACCTCAAGGAACAAAGTAAAATAATAGAAAAAAGCCATGTCGTGACAAAGGTCGTGTGAATTTTTACAAGTTAAGTCAAGTCACCTTTATTTAAATATGAACTTTATACTACAGATTGTACAGCTATACAGTAATAGAAGGGCTTTTTTCATCACCTGTAGTACTTGTGTCTTGCTGCTTGTGTAGATAACCTGTGTGCAGCATCCTGTGGTTTGCAGTGTATATTTATTAAATGTGTGTGCTTACAGACACAAGAGCCCATTTCCCAAAGGGTATATTATCAGTATCATTGAGAGATTACATTGGTCAGTTTGAAAGAAATGAATCAATTTGACCAAAAGTAACAGTGAAGACATGTTACAAAAGATTTTTTAATTTTTTTTCCAATTAAATGCTGTTCTTTTGGACTTTCTATTTATCAAAAAATCCTGAAAATCTCATGATTTATATATATATATATATATATATATATATATATATATATATATATATATATATAACGTTAAGTAGCACAGCTGTTTTCAATGTTATTTTTAATAATAAAAAATGTTTCTTGAGCATATTAGAGTGATATCTGAAGGATCATGTTACACTGGACTGAAGGCTGGAGTAATAGCTGCTGACAGTTATTCTAAATTATTTCACAGTATTACTGTTTTGACTATTTTTGATCAAATAAATGCAGTGCCAGTGAGGATAAGAGACTTCTCATTTTTTGCAGAGCACTGCATGCAAACTGTCAATCACGCCGTCACACACACACCGATGCAAATCAGTAAATATTGCTTTTCTTAAAACTCTGCCATTCTTAAAGTACCGGTACTAGAAAAGTAAGAAAGTATGATAACATCAGAATTTTCGTTAACATTGCTGCTGCTTCTCCAACTGGGTGCATGTACAGAGATAAACAAGGATCGTCTGCTGTTGGTACGGCTAATTCCTGTAGCCGACACCACCATCTAGCAGTGTGGTTGTGTCCTTGTAGAACGAGACAGGCAACAAACCCTGTGCATTAGCTGATGTTATCACTCCGAATGTCTATTTAATGCTTGTTTTCTTTGCAAAACAGATAATCCATATGTGTTGTTAGAACTAAGATTAATCGTGTTTTTTATTATTATTTATTTTATGTATTTATTTTTTTACAGAGAACTGTTACACCCCTAGTTTTTACACAGCTCAAGGTCCACTTATTCCTTTGTCGTCACAGGGTTATAGGGCCCTCAGGAGGATGAGCTAATCCTAATAACAGTTTAAACTAGGAGTGTTTGCTCCCTTCACTCTGCTCTCTGCTGGCTGTTGACTGAGGATTTCAACTGTTGAACTTGACAAAGAGTATAGGGTTGCACGGTATACCGGTACTATATTGCAATACTAAAGCTTCAAAATACTGGCGACGCCATTGTGTTTTTGAAACGGTAGTATCGTCAATACGATAGTACAGTAAGGAATATTGTATGTGTGGCAGGTACACTATTTAAAAGTTCATTTGAACACACATGCCTGGAAAAACATTGACGACAGGGTTTTTTTGAGTGCTGTTGCTAAATGCTGTGTAGAATTAGCGCCTTTATGTGTGGTTTCAGGCTTTCAAGCCTTTAGCAAAAAATAAAAAATAATAAAGTTAAATGCTTTATTGTGTGTGATTTGCATGTTTAATTTATTTTAAGACATTGAATGTACTGGAGCAGTGCAGTTAGCAGACCAATAGCTGAAGATCTAAAATAAATTAAAATGGTTGGTTCAACTCATTTAATTGTCTTATTTTTATATACAAATGAGCTTAAATGTTAAGTTAACAGAACTAAGATTTGTTTTGATCTCACATGGCCTGCACTGTGTTGGATTTACTTAAAATGTATATGCACCATTTTTGCATCATACTTTTTAAGTAATCCCAACTTGGAATAATTTTACATAAAATACCGGTAAACAAGAAAAATATTTAAGTACATATAACAAAGGTTGAGTTCACGCAACATTCTTTACTTAAAAATATATGCATATATTTTTAAGTAAAGAATGTTGCGTGAACTCAAATATTTAAGTACATATAACAAAGGTTGAGTTCACGCAACATTCTTTACTTAAAAATATATGCATATATTTTTAAGTAAAGAATGTTGCGTGAACTCAAATATTTAAGTACATATAACAAAGGTTTTCTTGTTAATTTTAAGTAAAATTATTCCAAGTTGGGATTACTTAAAATATATATGCACCATTTTTGCATCATACTTTTTAAGTAAATCCAACACATCATTTTGCCGTGTTCAGACCCGGAACGCGCGCTGTGTGAACAAAAGCCAGAACCAATGCCGTATAAGGGGTGTGTCGTAGTGATGATTCATGAGCCTTTGCAATGACGTAGTTATCGTGCGACTCAGTTACTCTAGAAGAAAGTTTGTGTTCGTCATCGATACAAGAAAGAACGAAAAAATGTCTGCAAACTGGACTGAAGTAGAGACCCGTCACATCCAACGTCACGCGTCTTTCCGGAACATACACGGGTTGTGTGTGAACGCGCTCTCTGATTCCGGCAAATCACTGGCAGTGTGAATGAAGCAAAATCAAACGAACCCGGGTCACTTTATCCGTGTATTTTCCGGAATCTCTGTGTGAAAGGGGCTTTTGAAAGTTTGGTTTATTTTGCAGATTTGCATGGTAGCGCAATACTACTTTGTATGGTGATACTTCAGCTGGTATAGTATTGTAAGACATTTTTTATGGTGTAATGACAACCCTACAAGAGTATACTTTTAGGGATGTTCATTTGATCTTACAAGTATAAAAGGAAAAAACTTTCTGAAATCATGCTGACTAGCTATATGATTTACCAGAAAGTTCAGGCTTTCCCATGGGTTCTTTTTGAATCACCAAACTTCTGATCGCTCTAGGTTTACATTGGGGGCCGTTCCTCACTACGATAGGACGAGCAAGAGTCTCATCATCTGGCTATACCGGCAGTGAAGCCGTTTATTTGTGTTGGGCGGTGGGGGGGGGGGGGGGGTGGAAATTAATAAAGAGTGTTTGTGTAAGTATTTGTGTGAACAGTCCAGTTGGCACTTGGCAGTAAACTGGGGAGGGGACTGTGGTCTCTCCGAGGTGAAGAAATATGAGCTTTCGCTGGTCTGTGGTTCTCTTGTTTTCCCTGGAGCTGTTCTCCACTGCTTTTGTTATGAAAACTCACTGGCCCAGGCTCAGGCTTGATTTTCCCTTCCCCCACTATCTCAGCCTCTTCACCACTCTGCCTGCCCATAGATTTTAATAGAATCCAAATGCCGGTACCACCAACACAGCCCTTTATAGTCTCAGAATATCCAAGAATGACAGGGGAGGTAAAGTCTGCTGTTCTGCACATGAGAAGTGGCTTTGATCCCACACATGTAGGTGTTAACGTTTGCACATGTGCTCAAACTTCGTACATGGGGGTCATCACAATTACATGTCTGCACCAGAAACTAAACAACACAATACAGACGTTACAGCCTAAAAATCTGATATGATCTGCGTTTGGCAAACCGAACTGATTGTATTCTCACTGACAGGCCTTTTGGCCAACATAACAATGTAGCCTATGACTTATGGCTTATAATGAATGCTCGTCCAAGACTGAGCCTGAAGCTAATTTAGTCCTAGCCGGCCTACATGTAAGTGTATGTGTAAGACGTAGAAATCAGCTCTTGCCATACAGACTGGATAACCATTTTAAACCACCCTCATTAAAAGTGAGGCACCTAAACACTAGTTAACCTGAGTTAGGTTGACAAATGTTTAAATAGAAAATAAACGATGACTTGGAACTGCCTACTGTTAGTCAGTAATTGCAACATGAAGAAATGGGTTGGAAAATCTATTAAAAAATACACTAGTGATCAATAGCTTTTTTTTTTTAAATGAATACTTTTATTCTGCAAGGATGTATTAAATTGATAAAAAGACATTTATAATGTTTTACATTCTTTCTATTTCAAATATGTGCTGTTCTTTGTAACTTTCTGTTTATCAAAAAATCCTGAAAAAAAAATCAGTTTCCACAAAAATATTAAGCAGCACAACCATTTTCAACATTGATAATATAATAATAAATGTTTGACAGCTGAAAATTCAGCTGTCATCACAGGAATAAATTGCATTTTAAAATATATTAAAATAGAAAACTTGTATTTGTAATAATATTTCACACTGTTTTTACTGTATTTTTTTAACAAATAAATGCAGCCTTGGTGAGCATAAAAGACTTTTTTCAAAAACCAACCCCAAAGTTTGAACGGAAGTGTGTTTTAACTATTTATTATTACAATTTCAATGCTTAAGAGCATTGTTTGAATTTTAAAAGTTTAATTTTCATTTATTTACTCAACCTTAGGCTGTACCAAGCGTGTATGCTGTCTTCATTGATCATCATTTTGGGGTGAACTATTCCTTTAACCTAGTTAAATGCTCTCTGAATTATTTGTTTTGGCAATTGCATAATTTCTCTGCTGTTTCCTCTCTTTTAAAAACAGCAAATGGTGATGAGCCTCCGTGTCTCAGAGCTTCAGGTTCTTCTGGGATATGCAGGCCGCAACAAACATGGAAGGAAGCACGAACTCTTGACCAAAGCATTACATTTGTTGAAAGCCGGCTGCAGCCCTGCCGTGCAGATGAAGATCAAGGAGCTTTACCGCCGCCGCTTCCCCACAAAGATGGTGTCCCCGACAGACCTGTCCCTCCCTGGCATACACTCCACCTCTGGAGGAGCTCACGCAGGCCTGCCCACCAGCCTAACACAGCTGGGATTTGATGGGCACGGTTCACCGTCTCTACTACCTGTCGCACTGCTTGGGCCAAAGCATGAGCTGGGCCTGCCCCACCTGCCCTCCGCCCTTCACCCAGTCCATCCAGACGTCAAGCTACAGAGGCTGCCCTTCTACGATCTACTTGATGAGCTTATCAAACCCACCAGTTTAGGTGAGTATGAGGAATGATCTCTAACAGTCGTCAACGAGTTGATTAAGGTTAAATTGTGCTTCTACAGTAATGAATTTAGAAACGTAGCTTGTCAGAGAGTGTTTTTTTGGACATTAAAGCCCTTTCCAAGAAGTTTTCTCTAAATTCATCTCTTCTCAAACATAATTCTTCGTCCTGGTTGCACATAAACAGTTTTGAGCAATTTCAACTGCAGCCGTTTTAAGATATTTAGCCCAGGGGTTTTTAAACTTTCTAGAATAACCCACAAATATGGTGCACCCCTAAAATATAAACTTAGCTCCATATTTTTGTGTGTTATTTATACTGTGTGAAATAAATATTTTTTATGGTTATGCTTTAAGGTTACGTTGTTACAGTGTAATTACACAAATAAGTACTGACTAATATTAATTAACTGCGTTCACTTATAGGGTTACTGTTAGACTTAGGGTTAGTTACTTGTAATTATGCATCATTTATTGTTATTACTATAGTAAGTACATGTAACGTTACGTGTAACAACGTTACCTTTAATAAAGTGTTATCTTAATTATTATATTTTAAAAACAACAACATAGTTTTGATTTAATAATTCACTTTTATATTTATGTTTGCATCAATATATTGCTAAGAAAAGCATCTGTTCGGAGCTTGTGGACATGATGCTGCCTTAAAATTAACTAGACATTCGGACAACCCACTGACTAATCAATTTTGCAAATCTTTAGATTTGTACAACCCTTATGGGATGTATGGGCCTCTCTTGAAGACTTCTCCTCCCCCACTGATACAAACATAAAGGTGCTCTTCAAGTGATTTATGGCTAATCAGATTGAACAGAGGCCACCTGTGCTATATTTAGTCATCCAGCTCAAGCTAAGAATAAAAGGCCAATATGGAAAGGAAGTTTCATTAAGCCCGAAGGCTGTGTGTTACTGCCTTTGTCCTTTGATGGTTTAGGTGTTATATTTTTTCTCTGGTTTTGGTCTTTGAGATGTTTAGAGAACTAGTCTTAGTGATCTCACTTTGGGGATTTTTCAAATCCAAGCCTGTCATTGTATTCTTTCAATGGAAATGACTGCCAAAGTGGGTCCTCAAAATCAATGTATGGAGCCAGTCAGGCCAAACTCCATCAAAAATTGAGTTGCAATGATTCCGTTGCTGAGCAGATGGCAGCTTGAATCAAATCTAGGTCCTTAACCAATGCTTAACTGCTCATTTTGGAGTGCGGAAGCATGCTACCTTATTTCAAGTTTCATTTTCTTACAAGGACTCTTATAGAGTTCATTTTGAGTGCAAATTGCTAAATAATAACTGCTTTTTGCTGTGCAATGCAAAGGACCCTGGAACATTAAATTGCTTCTCAAGCAACTTCCAGGAAACTAGATGGTCCTTCTTCCATATTGAGTTGAAGCCCCTCGGACTGAATATTCTTTCTAGGTCAATGTGATGAATTTTGAGTTGTTTGAGCTGAGAGTGCAACCAGTGTTGATGGAGCTTTAACACAGCCGAGAACTGAGTACAGATTAATCATCTGCCAGCATCTCACTGTTAAACTCTCTCCACTTCAATTGCAATAGATTTTCCTCTTCACATGACTGCTCAAGGAAAGCACACCTCTCATTTCAGTCTCGTTCATTGAGTTCAGCCACCTATGTGTGCCTGTAAAGGAGCTGATAGAGCTTCCTCTTATCTCTCTCACTCTCTCTTGCTTCTGAAACCCTTGCTTCATTTAAGGAGATTGGGTTATGTAACCCGGGTTATTTTTGGATCTGTTGTGTAGAGTTTGGCTTTGAACTAAACTGCAACAGTGTTTAAAAGTGGTTCCACTGGAAAGGACCAGCAACCTTGTGTCTGAAACTGAGATGCTGCTTTGCTATCAGTTCGCGATAATTCACTTTACGTACTGTTGGATTTTTCTTCATGATGTTAACTGAAGTTCACTTTCAAATACTATTGTTCGCTGCTCGGTCAGGGATGCTGTCACAAAATGAGCAAATATATATATTATAAATAACCAAAAGTATGTGGACCAGCAAAAACCATTACAAGGAAGTTGGTCCTCCCTAACAGTTTCCTTTTGAGTAAACACCCCAGACTTACTGAAGCATTTCTTTATGGACTGTACGATACAGAAAAGGCCCTCTCCAAATATTTGCTAACTTGGAAGCACACAATTCTCTAAAATCATATTATAGAATAAGACTATTCTTTGTGTTGCCTGATCTGTGCTGTTTTGTAATAGAGAGTCATATTTGAATGTTTAACATGATTAAATTCCTTAAATATTTTTTTTATGTTTTAAAAGAATTTAATTGTAGAAATATATTTTTTACATTTTTGTATCAATATTATTATTTTGATTTTATTACTTTTGATAGTAAGTGTCTTCTCTCTGTTTTTTTATCGATGGTGATGTGGTGGTTTCTCCATCTTCTATAATAGTCTCCTCTCTTATTGTTTTACAGCCTCAGACAGCAGTCAGAGGTTTCAGGAAACATGTTTTGCGTTTGCACTAACGCCTCAGCAAGTTCAACAGATCAGCAGCTCAATGTAAGTGTGTGTGTGGAGGGGGATATCAAATTACATGGTCGGACAAGATAACATGGTGCAAGTGTTTGAAATGCCTTAACTAATTTTGTGCTTCTAATAAATTTTAAATAGTTATTTCAGCCAGAACTGAAAACCAGTTGAATTTAAAAGCGGTTGTGCCGTTTACCTGGTCTTGTTAGATATCTTCATCTTGTAGTTACATAGCCGGCGATAGTGCTTATCAGACGTGCCAAGCGAGCGGTCCTGTAGAATGTTTGGTATGCTTTTCTCTCCTACGCTCTATCACACATTCCTTTACTCCCACCCTCTTGTCTCGACAGGGACATTTCTGGGACCAAATGTGACTTCACCGTGCAAGTACAGCTAAGGTATGATAAAACAAGTTTCCAACTAAAGATCTATAAAACTCAACTGGATCTTTTTGACAAACTGGAAACATGCTGCTAAATAATTACTTGGTGTCATTTTTCTTGCCACTATTGTTTGTTAATGTTTTGTGTTATCACAAAATCTTATGATAATGTGAATTGTTGTATTTCACATTAAAAATAGCTAATTCTTTGCTATTTAAAGTGCTGTGCAGTTGAATATTGTGTATTTTAATGTGATGTCTACTTTTTGATTTTCTCTTTCGAGGCTAACATACTCCCATCTTCAGAGCTTTCTTTTGTTTGGATTTCTGAGAGAGTCTTGGAAATCTTTCCCACACATTCCTAAAAGAATCTCAACACATATTTTTCAGGTTTTGCTTATCAGAGACAAGTTGTCCTCAGGAAGATCATTTCCCACCCAACCTTTGTGTAAAAGTGAATGGAAAACCCTGTAACCTCCCTGTGAGTCTGGCTTTATTTTTGGTCACAAATCAGCAAGAATAGTTCAGTCCTTCTGCCAATGACAGACAAATTGTTTGAAACAATGATTAACACATGTATGTTAACAAGTAGATTTAAAGGGATAGTTCACCCAAAAATGAAAATTCTGTCAGCATTTACTCACCCTCATGTTGTTCTAAACTGATAATATTTATATTAATCTTCGGAACACAAATAAAGATATTTTAAATGAAATCTGAGAGATTTCTGTCCATCCATTGAAGTCTGTTAACCCAAAACTGACACTTAAAAACATTCAAAAGGAGATCATAAAACCAACACAAATACAAAGATTACATATATTTTTTTTACTTCTTTAACATCTTTATTGTCAACATCTTTGACTCTTATAACAAATTAAGGATTCATATACAAACTTTTGTGCAGGCTGTTTAACTGAATGTCTTTTTGTGGTTGTCCTCAGGGATATCTTCCTCCAACCAAAAATGGAGTGGAGCCAAAGCGACCGAGCAGACCCATCAACATTACCTCCCTGGTTAGGTTGTCTACAACAGTTCCCAACACCATTGTTGTGTCATGGACGTCAGAAATCGGAAGGGTAATGAAAGTGCAATCTGTTTGAAATTGTTTCTTGATTGGTCTGAAATTGAAACACCACTGTCATGTTGCTCAGAATGTGTTTCTAAAAGCTGTGTTGTCCATACAGAGCTACTCCATGGCAGTGTACTTGGTCCGACAGCAGTCCTCCTCAGTTTTGCTACAGAGACTACGATCAAAAGGCATTAGAAACCCAGACCACTCAAGAGCACTCAGTAAGTTTACTCTGAACCCAAATGGTTGAATTCGAGTTATGTGTAACAAACTTCCGTATTTTTAAAAACAGGTTGCATCGCTTCCCGTTCAGGTCTTTTGTATGTGCTTCATTAAATATAGAGATGTTTTCCTCTAGATGCCTTCAGAGGAGCTACCAAAGATGTCCATCGCATATGCAGAAAATTCTTCTCAAAATCAAATAAAACGCCAACAATAAAAATAACTACTTTAGGTTAGCTGATTACCTTAAAAGTCTATAGATGTAGTTGTCAGTTCATATTGGTGTAACACTTTCTCAGACAAGCGGATGCAATAATTCCTGTTTGTTCTTGTGACGTTCGAGATAAAGCCTATTAAACCTTTACATTCTGAATATAACACAAATGCGAATTTTTGGCATGTTTTCTTTGGATTTTCCGACCTTCACTTACCAATGATCCAATTTAACATTGGCAACTATTGTTTTAATAAAGTGATGACCAAAATAAGTCTTATTTAAGCTGCCTGTTCACTGTAAGAGAATATTGCCTGTAAAAAAGACTGATTGGTTTTGCGTTCTGTGCCCTCTCTTCAGTCAAAGAAAAGCTTACCGCCGACCCTGACAGTGAGATTGCCACCACCAGCCTGCGAGTCTCCTTACTCTGTCCGGTATGTAATGGACCCTCAACCCTCAATAAAGTTTTTATTCCTCTTAAGGGATTCTGGTGAACCTTGTGACATTCCTTTGGACACAATTGCATTAACCATTTTGTTAATAAGAAATAAGAAATAAGTTTGCAATAAGAAAAAACTGCTTCCTTTCACCAAGACCACCAAGCCCTGCTTATGACTCTCTGACCTTCCATATAGTGTTCGTTTTCATTTTAATAATTTTGAGTGTTGGAGAATAAACAACAAGCCAGCAGTTTAGGAACAAGATAGAACTGTATAATCATAATTCAGTTATAAAGTTTGAAAGCAATATGTGGCCATTTAATGTATTCTAACATAATGTGTGTCCATCTGTGTGTAAATGAACAGCTCGGAAAGATGCGGTTGACGATTCCCTGTCGAGCGCTCACCTGCTCGCACCTACAGTGCTTTGATGCTACGCTCTACATCCAAATGAATGAGAAGAAACCCACCTGGGTGTGTCCGGTCTGCGACAAGAAAGCTCCATACGAGCACCTTATTATTGACGGGTCAGTACTGGTCTCACCTTTCACACCTGTGATTGTGGGCCATCTAAAATCTACAAAAACTCTTTGTTTTGCTTTAATGTACCAGTCATTGCCTAATGTGTATGAGCATCTATACACAACTGTTCAAAAGGCTGTTCAAAAACTGTTAAAGGTTGGTAATAGTTTTGGTAATAGTTTTTGAAAGTCTCTGAGGCTTACCAAGGCTGCATTTATTTGGTCAAAAAACAGTAAAAAAAAAAAAACTGCACTATTGTGAAATGTTATTACAATTTGAAATGTTCTTTTTTCTATTTCTAATAATATTTTCAAATGTAATTTATTCCTGTGGTTCTTTTTTCTAGCAGCCATTACTCTAGTCTAGTTTATCCAGTGTCACATGATCCTTCAGGAATCATTCTTATATGCTGATTTGCTGCTCAAGAAACATTTATAATTTTTAATGTTGAAAACAGTTTAAGTTCTTAATATTTTCATGGAAACTAATTTTTTTTCAGGATTGTTTTGATGAATAGAAAGAAACTCTTTTGCAACATTCTAAATATCTTTACTGCCACTTTTGATCAATGTGCCATTGCTTTATGAAAGTATTATTTTCCTCTTCTTCAAAAAAAAGTAATCTTACTGACCCTAAGTTTTTGAACAGCAGTGTGTGTTGTCAAAATTGAAGTATCTGCAATGTTGTTGTTGTTGTTTTTGTATTGTATTTTAAGTTTTTTTGTTGTTGTTGTACAGGTTGTTCATGGAGATTCTGAGCAGTTGTGTGGACTGTGATGAGATTCAGTTTAAAGAAGATGGCAATTGGGCTCCTATGAGATCCAAGAGAGTGGTACAGGAAGTGTCAGCATCGTCAAACGGCATTGATGGTATTACCACAAAGACTGTTATATATGTTATGAGTAATGGAGACAATAGACAGTTGTGTCTCAGTCCTGTAGTAACATGTGTAGATATTTGCAGGGTACCGTACTAAACATAAAATGAGATAGTCTTGACTTGCTTTTTGAAGATGACTTACTCTCTTGTAGACTCGTGTCGGTCGGTTGTATCGGACCACAGAAACAGTTCGTCCCATAGCAGTAAGAAAGTGGAGGTAATTGACTTGACACTGGACAGCTCCTCGGATGATGATGAAGATGATAACGACGAGCCTCCACCTAAAAGACCCTGTCCATCTCTATCTCCCACCTCCCCACCTGCCAACAAAGGGTGAGAATTTATATTTCAGCATGTCTATTGAATTATCATTTAAAACCCAACAAAAGTTTTGGTGAAACATCTTAAAGCATTTTTTGAAAAGTGTGCTATTTATTTCTTATAAATTGGCACTTGGATTCATATTTTGTCGTATAATGCGAAGATGTTCAGACATTTTGAAATGTGGTTTAAATGTCTAGATCATTTTAAAACCTTTGTATGTTACTTTTATTTATTTATTTTTTGCTGTAGAGTGTTAAATCTACATCATCAGACGTCTCCTCTGGCACGGGCTCCCAGCATGCCGGCAATGGAGACAAACTACATCCCTCCCCCTCCTCCTCTCATCCAGGATTATCGTCACTATTACCACACAGCCAATGACCTGTCAGGTACCGCTTCATTCCACTGATGGAATATTTTTCATTTTTAATACGAGCGTGCCTACTAGCTCAAACGGCACAGTTCATCTTGACCTCCTCGTTTGTTCGTGCTCAGTTGAATTGGTTGTCATTCAGCTACACTTCTGTTCAAAGGTTGGGGTTGGTAAGATATGAAAACAATTGAAAAGTTCTCTTATGCTCCCACTGCTGCATTTAAAAAAAAAAAAATCAAAAATACAGTAAAAACAGTAATATTACTGTAATATAACAGTAATATAAAACAATTAATTTCTATTTTATATATATATATATATATTAAGATCTAATTGATTTCTGTGATGGCAGAAATCATTCTAATATGCTGATTTGGTGCTCAAGAAACATTTACTATTATCATGAACTTTGTGTGTAAACCGTGAAAAAAAAAAGGTTATTTGATGAAAAGAAAGTTCAGAAGAGCAGCATGCATTTGAAATGAAAATTTGATTACATTTTAAATAGAGCTGCATGATTCATGATTTTTTTGTTTAAAATGATCATGATTCTCCCATGATTCTGAGCAGACAACTAAACAAAATAACATGTCATTTTCTAGAGGTTCTTAAAAAAGGTTAATTGCTGCAGTCTATTAAAAATATTTAATTAATTTGTATTGTTTTTTAAACTGTTTGAATGAATAATTCAATGACTTGATCTAAAAGACGTCACTTGTTTCATTATTGGATGAATCAGCGTTTTTGAATGAATCTCTTGAATTAATGATTCAGTGACATACATTTTTGGTGTAACGATGTAATTGATACAATCTTTATTTGATGCTTCAAGTTATTTTCCAAAGATGATTTACTCTATTTAGATCATCACTACCGTAGTTTATATCTGTACAAAAAACTTTTATCCCAGTACTTCTGTGATAATTTGAATTATTTTAAGATACTATGTAGTTGAGACTGTGAAGCCTTTTCATACATGACAACTGCTCTCTCTAGATCAGCGACAGCGCCAACGCAAATCTGAATGTTCACTGTGGACAAAGGTTTAATTGACACAGGCGAATCGTTGTCATTTAGGAATGCGATTTCATTGTTTCTGAATCAAGATTGTGATCTTTCAATGATTAATCGCGCATCTCTAATTATAAATATAGTTTAGCAAAATAATCTTTGTATGTACATTAAATCTGGGATTTCTTTTTATTTAATCCAGTGAACAAAGTTTTAGGATTTTAAAATGTTGTCTTAAAATTAAAAAACAACAAAATTCTAGGCACATTTATCCCAAGCAACTTTTTTTCTTGTTCTACAGATCTGAATTTCTTCTCATTTTTACAAGGGGACAATCACCAGGTAGGTTCACTCTCTGAAACAGCAGCACATCACAGCTAGAGGGCAGCATTGTTCTTAAACAAACGTCTATGTTTGACCACATCTGGTGCCGAATTACATGGATTGAGGACCCAGAGCTGACTGAGAGAATTAAAATACAAACTTTTAATATTAAACATCAACATAATCTAAAGTTTTTGTTGTTGCAGCATTACAACATGGTCATGGCCGCTGCAGCCGCCGCCTCGGCCTCTGCGTCAGCATCAGAAGACCATGAGCTGCTGCTGAACCGTTTCATGCCCTATGGTTCGTCACAGCTCTTCCTGGAGCAGTCGGGGACGTCGGCGAACAGCTCGCTAGTGCCTGCCAACGGCAGCGGGGGCAGCAGCAGTGGAAGCAGCAGCAGTCTGGTGTCCTCCAGCAGTCTGAGAGACAGCCACACACACACCAGCGCCTCCCGCTCGCGCTCCGACGCCGCCGCCTCCGTAATATACGGCTCCATCCCCGATGTCATATCACTGGACTGACCACACTGGGGCGCCCTGCAAACGGACAAGCTTTTATCACAAACAGCTGGAGGGCGGAGAAGGAGCTTTGTGCACTCGTGATAGGATTTAGACATGAACGGGATCGAAAGTTTGGATGGAAAAAAAGAGAGAACAAAGACTTTTGTAAAGAGAAGAATAAAATTGCTGTGTACAGAGAAGAAAAATCTATTTTCAGTTTTACTTTTGTATATAAACAATAGGACGCTGCCTACCCAGTGAGTGACTTCAGTTGGTATTTTCTCCATGGATACTGAAGATGTTTTTCACTGCTCTGTGTGTTGTTCCTTGATTATCTTATTCTGTACCTTTTATACTTTTTTGCTATTTTATTTCACTTTAAATAATTATTTTAGTCACAGTAATAGAATGGCAGTCATCTTCATCGTTTTTATTTCTAAGACTCTTTCCCTCAGCCATTGTTTGATCAGTGAGGGAACATCACATTATTTAATGCCATTATCCTGTGCAGGTAATTTATTATTGCTTTAAGTTATGTAGGATGTATGCTGTACAGAAGCATTCCCTTATGCCAATACAGAATCTAGCCACGACATGCTTGAACAGTCGACAGAGGTCACATCTTATTCCAGTTGCACACTCTTTCTCATTCATCACCACATTAATTATGTAAGAAGCGGAGTTTAAAGACATCAGTGCCCCGATTTGCTAGTTAGTAAACTCTTGTACTTTTATTCACCGTCTTATATCCTTTGATGATTTTTTTTTTTCTGAACTAAACCTCAAAAGATGAGGTGAGGTTTGCAAAAACAGCGCTGAGGGTATCAGACACTTTAGTATACCTCATTTAGTGTGTTGCAAAGATGACTGAAAAATAACCAGAAGGATGTTGCAGTAGCCGTAGTGCAGACGAGTAATTATTTCCTTAAGACATGTGATTTCCCATACTTAGCAAACCTATCAAATGGCAATTGATAGCTTTCTGTAAAAATGGCTAAACGCACTTGGCACATTTTAAAGGTCGAGAACACCATGTATGAAACGACATTTTCTCAAAGTCTGTGTTGTTTTGGGCTACAATTAAAATTGGAACCAACCGTTCCAATGCAACCATTATCTAGTTCTAGCTTTATAGGTTTTGAAAGTGTGCTTGGAATTGCAACATAATCTGTGCTGTCTATTTTCATCCGTGTAAAACTGAATTTATTTATTTTATCTATATATTATATTTTTACTATTTGTTTGATCATGCATTTCTTTCGTGATTATTTCAAGAGCTCTTAACACTTGCTTTGCATCGTACAAGTAGCTAATTACGTGTCCTTGTCTCTTCTTCTCTCATATTTGTACTATATATGAGACTTCTTCTGAGGCATTAATTCCACAATCGTACTCGCTGTGTCAGATTCAACTTTGGTTGAAATGAAACTGTTTAAAGGATAAAAGCCAGCTGCGTGTGCACACCCTCTGGCTTAGTTGTGAAGTGACAGCTGTTTTGGATTTGTCATTGATAGTCCTGCATTAAAGAAAAGGTTGTGGAACAGCTAATGTTGGCCCTGGAACGTTAGCACATGCTTTTAATCACTCGATGACAGCCAGTGCACAGTTCGCTAACCTTTCTGAATGAGTGATTTTTGTATTCAAAGTGTTGAAAATTAACAATTGGATCGATGAACCCATGCTTGTTTAATTTATATATTTTTACATTTGCACTGAGTTACATAATAGCACACAAAATTGAGACGGCCATCATTCTACACAAATCTCCCATTTGACATTGCACTGAAATCATACATTTCATGTGCCCACTGAACCGCTACGTCCTTGAAGTAAACCACTAGACAGTCAGTCTGTTATAGCTGTACCAATAACTGGCAAGTATGAACTCTCTGCCTTAAGTTCTTCTCTTACTGTATGGTACGCTATGAGAGAAACCATTATGTACAGGAAACCAATACCAGTTTGTACAAAATATTATATGAATTATTTATTATTTGAATTGGGATACATTGTTTACTTAATGAATGTTACTTGTTTATGTAGAGAGCGGTTTAGCTGTAATAAAACAAATACATTAAATCTTTTCTATTTCTGTCTTATCTGTATTTTGGTCTTTATTTGACCTCTGGTTGCAGAATGCTTAATCCCTATATCACACTCATGAGGTGACTAGAAATTGTCTGTATTTTTTATTTTTTTATTACAGAGCAACAACAACAAAAAAAGAGTTAAACTTCACTTTTGTTTTAGAATTTGATTTACAAAGAGCTGGTCTGATATATTATTATTACTAGTATTTTTTATCACAAGTGAATGCAAAAAATACTCAGAGTTTAAATACATTACAGTTTATGGATTAACGGCAGGGTAGGTTATTTGTTGCAGAAACATTTTTTGTTATGCTGGTTGAAAGTCTCTTAACATCCTTATAACAATCAATAGGTTAAATGGCCTAAATGCATTTATATGTACGTAAACATCATCTGTGGAAGGTGTAGGACCATAAAATGTTCATCCAATCAATGGTCCAATGTCCTATCTGCCTGTCAACGTGTGTATTTCTACCTACACAACACACCTTCATGCTATGCAGAGTTAGACAGACGTCAGTCACAGAGTACAGCAACAGAAACAGCCGCCGCCTTTTACAGTTCCTCCTGAACCAAAACAACGAGTTTATGCTGCTTTCACGCCATAACTACTGTAATTTGGAAGAGATTGGAGAAAAGGAAGTTGCATATATGTGTTATGCTGTGGATGACTAAGCCTTGTGTTTTGAACTTTATCCTTCTTCATTGTCTGTCTGAGTGACACTTGATGACAATAGGGTGATGTAGGCCCAAAAACATTTGAAAAAAATCTTTTTGTTTAAGCTTGGGTAATAAATATAACCATTTATTAAACAAAATAATTACAAAAATCTCCACCCTAGGGACAAATGAACAACAGTTTCAAATACTTTCTAATTGCTGTGAACATTATCTTAGACAACTCATGCACCGTTGTCCCTTTAAAAGCTTATCAGTTAATAAATTATCAGGAAATATAAATATTGAGATTGTACTTTCTCACAAACACATCATTTTACATTTTTCGTTTTTGGATACAAATGCCTTTAAGGCATTTTTGTTTACTTTTTAAAGTACTGCATTATTGATACTTCAGTCAATTTTAATTGTCACTGAATTATTAGTATGTTATTTTTGCTGATTTTAAAAAGAAATGCTTAACAGGGTGGACAAGTGGTATAAAGAATGGATGGATGGATGATTTCCTATCTCTCAAATACAACCACCTTATTACTTTAGTTAACTGGATTTAGATGGGAAACAATATGTAAAACATTGTCAAAGAACTTAAAATACACAATTCTTCAACTTGAAACATAAATTACTTTCACAATCACTATATGTTCACTCTCAGTGTCCACTGATTTAATAGGGTGGATTCTAACAGAGTAGACGTCCTGACCTAAAATCAGCCACTGTACCGTGTCTGAGCAAAAAGAAGCTATAGAAGGTTTATCTAATTAGGAATTGCATGGTCTTTAAAATTGTAATTCTAAAACTATGATTCTTCTTCTAACCTTTTTTCCCTTAACATTTAACTTAAGTGAAATTTAAAAAAAAGTGAGAAGTGTAAGTTTATTATGAAAAATCCACAAAATGCTATTTTCAAATTTTATATATGAAATATACTATATTGCCAAAAGTATTGGGACATCCCTCCAAATCATTGAATTCAGGTGTTTCAATCAAGCACCTAGGCATGCAGACTGCTTCAAAAAACATTTGTGAACAATTGGGTCGCTCTTAGAAGCTCAGTGAATTCAAGTGTGGTATGTGATAGGTTGCCACCTGTGCAATAAGTCCATTCGTGAAATTTCCTCACTACTAAATATTCCAAGGTCAACTGTTAGTGGTATTATAACAGAGTGGAAGCAATTGGGAACAACAGCAACTCAGCCACGTAAAATCATGCTGAGGCGCACAGTGCGCATAAGTCGCCAACTTTCTGCAGAGTCAATAGCTACAGACCAGCAATGGCCTTCAGATTAGCTCAAGTTAGCTTGTAGAGAGCTTCATGGAATGGGTTTCCATGGTCGAGCAGCTGCATCCAAGCCTTACATCACCAAGTGCAATGCAAAGCGTCAGATGCAGTGGAGTAAAGCATGCCACTGGACTCTAGAGCAGTGGAGACATGTTTTCTGGAGTGACGAATCACGCTTCTCTTCTGGCAATCCGATGGACGAGTCTGGGTTTGGTGGTTGCCAGGAGAACGGAACTTGGCTGACTGCATTGTGCCAAGTGTAAAGTTTGGTGGAGGGGGGATTATGGTGTGGGGTTGTTTTTCAGGGGTTGGGCTTGGACCCTTAGTTCCAATGAAAGGAACTCTTAATGCTTCAGCATACCAAGACATTTTGGACAATTTCATGCTCCCAACTTTGTGGGAAAAGTTTGGGGATGTCCCCTTCCTGTTCCAACATGACTGCGCACCAGTGCACAAAGCAAAGTCCATAAAGACACGGATGAGCGAGTTTGGTGTGGAGGAACTTGACTGGCTTGCACAGAGTTCTGACCTCAACCCGATAGAAGACCTTTGGGATGAATTAGAGAGGAGACTGTGAGCCAGGCCTTCTCATCCAACATCAGTGCCTGACCTCACAAATGCGCTTCTAGAAGAATTGTCAAAAATTACATTAAGCACCCCTAAACCTTGTGGAAAGCCTTCCCAGAAGAGTTGAAGCTGTTATAGCTGCAAAGGGTGGGCCAACTCCATGGATTAAGCCCAATGGATTAAAAATGGGATGTCATAAAGTTCATGTGCATGTAAAGGCGGACGTCCCAAAACCTTTGGAAATATCTAAAAATGTTTTGCTTTTAATAAGATTTTGGGCGCAGTTCCAAACGCTCATTTTTGATGCAGGAGTAGCTACAAGTATGACTATTTTGGGGAATTGGGAGATATGAACTCGCAATTGCGAGAAAAAAAGTCAGAATTGTTAGCCTATATGTTGTTAAAAATGTTATATGTAAATGTTATATTTAATGCTGTAAATACAGGGCTAAAACATTATTATGTCCCCAATGAATTGCATATGTGAATATTATTGTTATATATTATTACATTTTATTAATATTATTAAACCTATTGTTTACATCAAATTCATCCTTTCATAGTCGACTAATCATCCCAGGTTTCATAAGTATGTCCGTTTAGGCTTGCAAGTTGCAACCAAACGTCGGTTGGCATTCACGATTCCCGCGTTACCAAGGGATCAAACCCCAATCATTCCCACCCTGGGTGACTGAGCCGCAGTCATAGGCTACATGTCTCTAGCCAATCTTTGCCCCGCATGGGCGGGTAATACTAATGCGCGTGTACATCTGGATATATTAGATTAGAAGAAGCTCACGGCTGGTGGTCAAACCGCTGAGAGAACCTCTTCAACACAACTCAAGTAGCCTAAACACTGGCTGAGCGCAGCGCGCGCGCATGTCGCAGGTGGGACGCGCCATTGGATGCTTAACTATGGGTGACCCTTTCAACAGCAGCAGCAGGGTGTTTAACCGAACCCTTCAGGGTCATGTCACATTTGGAAATCTGGAGGACATTGACGTGACTGCGGACAGGAGTCCGGTCTTGAGGATCATGATCTCCGTGGTGTACATTCTCGTGTGCGCAATAGGCTTAGTTGGGAATTCGCTCGTCCTTCTCATCATGAGGGTGAAACACTGCAAACAGAGGACCACCATTAATGTGTTCATCATTAACTTAGCTGTCACAGACATCCAGTTCGTTCTGACATTACCGTTTTGGGCGGTGGATACCGCTCTGGATTTCAGCTGGCCGTTTGGAGACGCCATGTGCAAGATCATACTCTCCGTCACTGTGATGAACATGTACGCCAGCGTCTTCTTCCTCACTGCTATGAGCATCACTCGATACTACTCCGTTGCCTCAGCCACC